GTTCAGTTTCTGTGGGCCTCTATGGGCCCAGGTTAGTTGAGTCTGTAGGTTTTCTTATGGCATTGCAATGAGACTTATTTTTTTTTTAATTCTGATAATCTTCTGCCATGTGTGAGGCCTTGGGGTTGATCCTCAGGGATGAAAAGGCTCTTCTGATGAGGACAAAACAGCAAGGAGTAACCGAATCTTGATCTGTGTGAACATCTACATTGAAACTGTCCACTGATCAGTGCAGCTCTAAAGGAGTAGAAAGGCTCTATGTCTCTATTGTTTACCTTGTCCTTCTGGAGAGGTGACACAATTGATGCAGATACAACTGTTTCAGAAGTGTCACCATATAAAGAAAAAGTTGGAGGGAGAACTGTAGGTGGGGCAGTCAAGTTTCTGGCTTGAGTTTCCTGGCTTTCGGTTCTACCCATTCTAAAACTGCAGAGGGGAAACTGCCATTTGAAAAAGATCTAGGATATCTTATCTCTCACCTCCATGCTCTCTCATATTACTCTCAATCACTGAGAAGCTTTATTAAGGGTAAATTTTTAAGTAAATGAAGAGACAAAAAAAGTCTAGCAGAAATGAAAACTGAACAATCACAGTATGTTTTTATTTTTCAATGTATTTCAAATTTCTTTTAGGCCTCTACTAATTTGGCTTATAGCTTTGGCAGGTTGTTTTAACACATCTTAGTGCCTTTAGTTCATGTTCACATGTCAAATATGTTAGGAATTGTTCACTAGAAGGTATAAGGAGGCCAGCATCCAGGTCTCAGTTTTATAAGCCGCTTGCTCCACATCTAAATCTCTGTAAATCACCAAGTCGCTTTAGGCTTTTCTCGTGGCTGATAACAATTTAAAAAGTTAAACTAGAATGATCTTGAAGGCTCTACACTGACATTTTGCATTGAAGAGTCTCAATTACTGATCTTCAACATGTTTTAATAAATATTAATAATATTCACCCATTTGCATACTATTTTATCACTCACAAAGCACTTTCATTTATATGATCTCTTTTAAATTTCTCTGGTGTCTATGAGTTAGTCAGATTTCACAGAAGTGCCAGCAAGCTCAGAGAAGTTATAACTTATCTAGGATCACAGATTCCTGAACATGGCAGGGCTGGACAGACAGGCCTTCCTGCTCATGAGTTCATTTCATTTTTCTGCCTATTACATAGTTACTTCAAGGTTACGGTAATATGGAAATATGATTAGTTGTTATTGAATCATAAAGCAATTCGTTATGATTTTCAGAGAGCCCTTTTGATTTAGAGGTGGAGAACTAGGTATCATTGACAGCTCAGATTATGCTATGGACAATTCTTCTCATTTCAGAGCCTGCCACTAGGTCTGTAAAAAAATGGGTTTGGACCTTTTTAAAAATGGCTTTCTTTTTGCTTAAAATTCTGATTTTCTTATTAGTTACTATGACTATTTTTAAGCTAATATCATGAAAGATTAATATTAAAATGAAAAGCTCTTATCATCTGTACAATGCTGAAATCATAGACTTAATGATTTCTATCAGTGGCTATTATTCATGTTCTTTGGTCATTAGCATATTAAAAATCAGTAACTATCATCACTGCCTGAATTCTGGTTTCCAACAAGGTAGTTCATTTAGGATTTTACAGGGCAAACTTGATGGTCCTGCAGGCCTGTAATTCAAACTACTCAGGAGGGTGAAGATGAGGCAGGAGGATTGCAAACTCAAGTCCTGACTAGGGTACAGAATGAGTTCAAGGCTAGTTTGGGAAACTTAGAGAAACTCTACCTCAAAATAAAAAGTAAAAGGAAGACTGAGTTTTAGAGGACTTGTCTAGTGTGTATGATGACCTGGGTTCAATGGTTTAATCTCAGCAACACACCTCATACCCAGACACCCACACACAGGTACACTCACACACACAGGAACACACCCACACACAGGTACACTCACACA